GGAAGAAGAGCAAGGGCACCCGCATGTCATCGCCTGGCCTAATCGCCACCGCCCACTCGCAGGCCGGCTCGGGCTGAACTTGGCCTCATTTGCAGGTGTCGGTGACATCGAAAAAGAAAAGACGAGATGCTTGTTTGCCTCCTGGCTCAAGGTTGCACTTGCACAAACACAACAGGTCCGCATGCATTACAATCTCATTTCCTGTTTCCTGGAATTCAATTGGAATACAGTATAAAGAAAATAATCCACAAATTAACAACAACCACATCAATTCATCCGTGGGCTTGCCAACAGCAAAAATAAGTGTCCCAAAGCAAAGTGCCTGCAACCATATATGTATGGAAGGAAACATATTGCGGCTCGACAAAAAAAAAAATAAAAAAAATTAAATAACATTTTCAGTGTGACTTAAATTTATAGTCATGTTTTAGTTTTTTTCATAGGAATAAACTGCAATGAACTAAAAATCATTTAAGTGATCTGTCTCACAAGTGGAAAACTGTCAATCAGTCGGACTATTCCAAGTGTGGCTGAATGACAGGGGGTGCAAACCTTTGTTTCAATTACTAAATAAGACAAAGACATGTTCTGTGTTTACCTGTAAATACCACGCCCAATTCAAAGGGCACTTCCATCTTTAATAATCCGTTTTTCTTCATTTGGCATTTTATGTCAAAACATCAACAGTCAGACAAGGCCTGGCTGTGCCCCGTGCACACCCCTTCAATTAGCATGAAACGATTCAGTCCAATCTGAGTCGGTGAGGTCCACCTGTGCTAACAATTTACAAGCGAAAGGACAAAAGCGGAGCCTGTCTATCTTTTATGGAATGAAATAAACGGGACTGAAGTGGCACGAGGTGAGCTATTTTTTTTTCCTCAGCTAATTGTGAAAAGTGGTTTGTGATAGCCACATGCTAACTAGTGTAGTGCGAAACAGGCTAGCATTGCTAATTGCTACATCTCACGAGCACGTCCACGTACTGAAGTTCCCCAAAAAAACTGAGAATTAAGAGAAATAAGTTTGTTTTCCTTTGTTTTGACGCAAAGCCCCATAAGTACCCACGTACGTAAGTTCCCCAAAAAACTGAGAATTGAGAAATAAGTTTGTGTTTTCCTTTGTTTTGACGCAAAGCCCCATAAGTACATCAGCACAATATTTTACACTTAGCCAACTGCAAAAAAAAAAAAAGACAAGTCCAAAACTTCAACTGCCACCTCATATTTATTTCAATATTTTAATGCAATTTGCTTCAGTCTATCATCTCCGTGTATGTTTTTTTCACAACTTTTTTTGGTTTGTTTTTCCTGCGTAGTCCTCTTTTGGATATGAATATATATAATGCAAAATTAATTCAGTACCCTAGGTCACAATAATGTAGAGAAAAAGCAGAGAGACGAGCGGGTTTATTTTTCCGGCGTAGTCCTCTTTTGTATATGAATATATAATACAAAATGAATTCAGTACCCTAGGTCACAATAATGTAGAGAAAAAGCAGAGAGACGAGCACATTTAAGGCGGAAGCTCTCATTTGAGCCTCCTCGCCCGCTACTCAAAGTACAAAGATTGGTCTCCATCAGAGCTATCAATTATGGCATGAAAGCAAAGTCCGTCAAGAAAAACAACAACAAAAAAAAAAAGAAACAAAATGATCAGCTTACCCAACTCAGTTGTATTTAGATTTCTTTACTTAAATACTTTGATTTGCTATTATGGGGGGGAGTTATCATGACTAGAGTCTTGATTTTAAAATAACCATAATATTACAAGAAAAAAAGTTGCCGTTTTCATACATGGCAATTTTCCGCGGATCCGCGGAAATCCGCCGTTTTATTTCTTAAATTGATCATTTTTGTGAATCGTCTAAATCCGTTGAGAAAATTTTAGGGGCGGTCAGGTACCATTGCCATGTATGCGTTTTGCAGTGAAGAGTCGGAATGTGATGAGAATCAGTATCTTTCTATCACTAATTGTATTGATTAGTTGGTTTTCCAAGCCCAGTCTTCCCTCTCCCGAGCCACTTCATCCAGCTCTTCTGCGGCTTTCCCAAAGCTTTCCCAGGCCAGCCGGCGGACATAGTCTCTCCGGCGTGTCACGGGGCCTCCTCCCAATGGGATCTGCCCGGAATACCTCACCATGGAGGCATTCTAATTAGATGCCCAAGCCACCTCATCTGGCTCTCAGTGTGGTGGAGCAGTGGCTCTACTTTGAGCCTCCTCGCCCACTACTCAAAGATCGGTCTCCATCAGAGCTATCAACTATGGCATGAAAGCAAAGTCCGCCAAGTAAAAAAAAAACAAAAAAAAAAAAACGCTGTGAAGTGTAAACCTAACCTCTACGTCACAATTGACCATACTGAGATAATCTCCTCTTAATGGCTTAAGCCTTGAGAGGCTCTCATGAGTCCGTCCAGGGCATCCTGGCGTAAAGGACGCACTGAGAAAGGTTTTGAGACAAAACCAAACAGAAGTTGCCAGCGACAGTCAGCGCAGGTGGCTGGCTGCCCTTTGGCTTCAGTTGCCAGCGATGAACTTGACAGTCCAGGTTGTTAAAATACAATTAGGGCAATAAAACGATATTTCCCCAGATCGAGCTGTGACATGTTTAGATGAGTTGGATTGCGCTCAAGAAAGCAAAGTTTGAATGAAATCGTGATGTCATCTGTCTTCCTTCTCTCAGGTTGCTTTTTTCTTTCCTTTTCTCCCCCCTCCCCCATTTCTTTCATCCTATTCTCTCTTTAAATTTGAATGAGATGGGTAGCCATGTTCCTCTCAGCTGCTCCTTCATCATCCAAGTTGAAGTGTTTTTCTATCCGTCCTCTTCTTCCCGATCCATCTTCAAGACGCTTTTATTTAGTTGTACTTTTTATTTATTCATTTATTATTTTTTTAATTGAGTGGCAGCAGAATTGCCCCATGGCGTGTCGCCATGGAGACTGACATGACTGCCAAAGGGACACAACAAAGGAATAAATAGTGGCGCACCTGTACATGCAGTAACGTGCAGCACGCGCTTGTTCCTTCCTGTACGGCATAAACAACTTGCCGTCTTCTGTACCAGCTTCAAACATTTGCTGCAGGATTTCCCCAATTTCTCAAAAAAATTCTTCCGTCCTTTCTTCCTTGCTTGCTTCCATTAACCTGTGGCGCATGTTTTTGGAATGTGGGAGGAAACCACCAGAGTACCCGGAGAACATTCAAACTCCACGCAGGGAGGCCGGAGCTGGAATCGAACCCCGGACCGCTGCAGTGCGAAGGCGGACGTGCTAACCAGTCGCCCACCGGACCTCCCCTAATGCTTTTATAGCATACGGTATTTATTTTTTAGCCACACACGGAAAATAAAGTAAATCCAGCCAACCCCTGCACAGTGGCAGTTTAACAATTGCAAAATCTCTTTGAGACCCTTTTGTGCTGAGGGAGAATCCGCAAGGAGACCCCGCCTCTCATTTAAAGCGCACGGAGTTGCCTTGTGTATGAAACCTGCGACGGAAATAAAGCTGCCTTGCCTATTTGCCCTTTTCGCCGATGAGACGGAACAAGTGAGGAAGTGCTTGTTTTTATTTCAGTAAGTGAATCTGATGCGGCTGAATATAGACGAGCTGTCGCCGAGCCGCGTTGAGGGCGTTAAGCGTGGGGGTGGGGGGTGGGTGGCTTTGCACGGTGATCCGCACGCGGGGCTTCATGAGAGGGCAGATGGCAGCACTCAAGCAGGAAGTGATCGACATAATGACGTGTGTGCGTGTGTGCACATAAGCGCACATCCTTGGTGAATGGGGGGGGGAGTGTTGTCGCAAAATAAACATATTTCACTTCTTTTCACCGGTTTTGCATCCACTGACCTCAACACGTGCGAGTCCCGTGCAAGATAAGCGGCAAAACGGCAGCGGGAGTACTCCACGACACTATTACGGTGGTTGCGATAAACGAAGGCAATTACGTGGTTCTATTCCGGGTGTAACGCGTAACCTCACGTGGTGGAGGTCACCATGATGATGACGATTATGATATCGAGAGTGGGGGACCAAAGTGACTGCGCGTTGCCCCCGGCTTACCTGTTTGCCGGAAGCACCCACGCACGCCATCACATCGGCGGGGTCAAAGATGGGCTGGAAAGCAGAGGTTCAAGTACACGCAATTAACGGGCGGGGGGGCGATATGTACTGTACTGTACTGTATTTGACCCTCCACTTTTCCTATCAGTTACGTGTATCTACATCACAGGTGTCAAACTCAAGGCCCGGGGGCCAGATCTGGCCCGCCACATTCTATGTGGCCCATGAAAGCAGCTCAAACATGTCAACTTCCATGATCCTTTCTAAAATGTCCACCAAAATTTTCAATTCTCATATGTAATAAATAACAGATATATTCTTGACTTCTTTCCATGGTTTCAGTCATAATGGCCCTCCAAGTGACACGGTAACTAAAATCTGGCCCGCGCCATAAATGAGTTTGACACCCCTGATCTACATCCAGATGATTCGATTATGTGCAGGCACTTGCTGCGCCACCCCCCCTCCCCCCTCCCAAAAAAATTCGATGTAAATTCACCGCAACTTTTTTTTTCCAGTGTATTTGGCCTTGTTGAGTGAAATGGTCCCTTTTGAGTCCGAGTCACGGACGGCTGACTGCACGCTGACTTTTCTTGGCTGCGAAGAAATTTCAAACACGTTCAAGAAAAGCACAAGCGAATTCCCGCCGAACGTCTTGACAACCGTTTTGGCCAACATTTGCGAGCTTGAACCAACATGCGGCCTAGGTTGCCGACCTCTGGCCCAAAGATGTGAGCTGGAGAAGTAGCCTTCGGCTCCCCATGGATGAAATGTCCCCTGTTCAAGAAAGGGAGGAATAAAATCGAGCGCCCTGTGGCGGTTGCTGGTCTACAGAAGATGCAAGCTCCGTCTTTCCATCTTCGTTCTCTGCAGC